ATTTTCATGCCATGGAACCTTTAAGGCAAGGCAAGGCAGGAACTGAATATAATGAAAATGAAAACAAAACAGAGTATACTTGCTACAAATGTGATGTGCTCCACATGGCCTTCTATATTCCAGTGTTATTTAACATTCACGTTGATAATACAAATGATGCATTAGGACTTTACTTTACTTTACATTAGCGTTTACTAACCTAATAAACTCTTTCGGAGTCAAGCAAAACTTCACCGGGCCCACTCATCGTTTAATCTGATAGGCCTATAATCTCATCTAAATTAATTTGTGCCAATGAGACCACAACTCGTGTCATGTTTGGTCAACGGATTCACATATCGATCAATAATATAAAATACACAAACATGTGATCATAATTAATAATTGACGTGGGAAAAAATATTTTGGGTGAGCTGTTATAGGCCTACCCTCATGTTGTGTTCGGGGTCTCTGAGACCCCAGTTATAAACATGATTAAATGTCCTACTGACAGCCCTCAAAGTGACTGAATAATCCTTTTATGCATGGGATCGTGAAGCGCCAGTTTTTTCAAACCAGCTGTCCCGACCTTCCGATACTGCATGAGGTTCGAAGCTTCAAACGTCGTCAATCACGTGGTATTGTCATTTCGATACAAGCATCGGCACAGTGTGTGATACAACAATAGTGGTTTGAAAACTGCGTCGGAGCATCGGAGCTGCAGTATCAATTGTCCCATCACTAGCTAACGGTCTAATCCGATTCAATTATCTATGCTAAACTAAGCTAAAAGTGCTACCGCCAGACCCGGAGATCGGCTGAATGGATTTTAAAAACGGTAAAACTCAACTGTTTAACTCTAGGGGAGTTGGAAAATGAGCCTATTTTCAAAAATAGTGGAGTGTTCCTTTAAAGTCTTCTTTCTGTTCAGTAGTTTGTCGGTTATTGTTTTGTGTTACATGTTTTACTGCTACCCTGAGTTATTTCCTTTCCTGTATCTGTGTGGGTTATAATTAAAGACTTTCTTTGTGGATTATCTTCGTTTTAATCGCCTTCCTTGGAGTACTGTAACCGAACCATTCAAAAGTTTTTTTTTTTAAATTGATTTCAAATAAATACCGTTCTTTTGAACTTTTTAATTCATCAAAGAAAAAAAATATTAAGCAACACAGCTATTTTCAACACTGATAAATGTTTCTTGAGCAAATCAGCATATCAGAAGGATCGTGAGACACTGAAGTAATGGCTGCAGAAAATTCAGCTTTCCCATCACATGAATAAATTACATTTTAAAATAGTTATTTTAAAGTGAAATAATATTTCACAATATTACTGTTTTTACTCTATTTTAAATCAAATAAATGCAGCCTGCATGAGAAGAAGAGATTTCTTTCAAAAATCTTATCATATATACAGATATATATCTGTACAATTATGCCCTTGTTTGTATTGTACTTAAATAAGGTGGACATAAATATTTGAAATATGCTTGTGGGGATATAATTATCTTGTTACAGGCCTTAACACCCCTGTTTTCAGCTCACCCACAGCTTTCAATGTAAGAAACATTAATTAGTGTGTTTGGAAGTAAACAGAGAAAGAGGTAAACAATACACCATAACTAATGACGGAGTGGCCATGAGTTAAAGAGCAACATGTTCAGATTGGACACAGCAGAAGCAGCCACAGGAGACAGCTAATGGCTTTTAAATGACTGACAGATGACAGTGTGTGCGCTTTCCTAATTGAATAGAGAAGGCCATCGGATCCAAAAATAACCTTCATGAATTAATCTCTCCTTTATGTGTTCTTCATTAAAAAGATGTCAAAAGGACAAAAGAGTAATAAGAATAGGATTAATTTATGAAGCAACCAGTAATAAATATTGACCAATGAAAAGTTATTAGATCTGCATTCCCCTATGACTCTCCACCAAAAATATAGTATGCCGTAAATGGTGGGCAAATTTTTCACTTGCTGCAAAGAAATATAAATGTACACTTCCACTTTCCATATCCCATTTCTGACTGAACACAAACAAGGCTACAGTGAGCAATCTTACTTAAAGGGACAGAAAAATTGAAAGGGGTGGTCTTATGCTATTTCATGCATTCTGAGTAATTTACACTGTTAAAGCATTGGATTCTCGTGCTAAACATGGCCAAAGTTTCAAAAAACGATGAAAGAGTGGGAATGCTGTGTATGGGCACTTCTCCCGGAAGAGCGCGCACAAACGTCGACCAGAGCAAGATCAAGAGCAGCCCATCAACGTGCTTCCCACTGCACAGGACTTGCTCGACAAGAATTTGTCATTTTGTTTTTAGACCACGAAATCAACAGTGTCACCAAAGAAGTGTATTTTTGGTTGTGAGAGAAGGATGACTTCCCAAAGAACCCAGAATAAAGGGAACAGTGGATGAATTTTGTTTCTCCGGGGTAACAACGGAATGTGCAAGTGTGTTTGTTTGTTCCCGGCCATGCGTTGGAGTGGAGTAGGAGTGATTATGAATGAATGAATGAAACGCATTTGTCCTTGTTTCTCTCCGTCTCGAATCGCGCTCGCGGAAAAGCGCTTGAGAAACAGTGTCTCTTCCACGGCTCAGTACACTTTCAACTCGTTTTTTTAGTCTCGAGCAAGACTGTATGACATTCACATTACATGATTTGACTGATTTTTACATAGAAAGGGCGACAGCGCACTGCATTAAAATAAATGATCATTCATGTTTTCATAACCGCTGGCCAAATTCAAAAGCGAAAAATAAAATTAAATCATCTTTGAGAGCAAGGGGGCCCCATGGTGTTTCGGGGGCCCTACACAGCATGCGTATTTTACATATAGGGAGGACCGGCTCTGGTCCAGTGTTGCCAATTTAGCTACTTTGTAGCTAGATTTAGCGACTTCCCCGCCCCTTTTGAGACTTTTTTCAAAAGTTTAGGGACAAATATAGCAACTGCTTGGACAAACCTTATCTAAGTTCTCATCTTGCCCACTGATCTACGTTCATCTTTATATAGATCAGTGAATTTGCCATTGTGATGTCATCTAGTGACATTTAGCTACCAGTTTTAGCTACTTTCAATTGAAAGCAGTTGGCAACACTGCTCTGGTCAATGTCACAGCTTACAGACGATCCCTACGCAAAAGCTGCGCTTGCTCGTGACTCTTTAGCTCCGCCCACGGCACGCCTTCAGGAGCTCAACTGTTTTTGGGGAGAAGCGTAAAGCTCGATCTATCTTTTATAAATCTGATCAAAACTAAAGACTCTTCGGGGATATGAAGGATGCAGTAGGTACTCAAGATTAAACAGAGGTTTACCCATGGTAACTGAATTCAGCGGAAACATTTTCTTGAAAAAAGTTAGCACACACAGTACACACATTTTTTTTCTTTACACAGAATTTGAGAATCCTCAATTCACCAAGTTGCATGCAACAAAGCTCAGAATATAATTTCTTAATTAATTTTCACAATTTGTCCACTGGAAAAAAAGGGGAATTTGGAAATAAATGAAAGGAGAAAAAACTGCCTTGTCTTCACCTCTACATGGACAGAATCCCAGCCAAAAATCCCAGCAACACAAAATAGTGTTATTTAACAATGTTTCAAATAATAAATTATGAAAAATCTGAATATTTATAGGAATAAATAATAATGAATCTTAAATTATAGATAATGAAAAGACCTTAATTAAAGTTTTTTTTTTTTTTTTTTTACCTCATTTGTTTAGTTAAATTATCAGCATAACAATTTAGGTGCATAGTTGAATTATAATGGCTTACAGCACTAAAGCGGCATGAACTCGAGTTTGTGTAAAACCTGATGATCATGTTCTCCAGCAGGATTTGAGAACGATCGAAAGAGCATCTTGTGCTTCAATGGAAGCAAGAACATCGAACCTTTTGGTAACCGGTAAATGTCGCAAAATTTCATATATTTGACCAGCTCAAACATTTGTCATTCGTTGTGTGTCATAACATTCTTTTTCTTTTTTTAAATTGCAAAACCAATTTTAAGGATTAAATTACAAAACCCATAACTTCCGGATCAGAAACCTTTAGAAACACGATCTACATTTAGACACACCCACTTCTCTGAGCCACAGATACCCATACTTGACTCCACAGTGCTGCACCTGTAATGTGACGTGACAGCAGCACTTCCGGTTTCCTCTCTGGCTGCGCGTCAACACACCACAGATTTCATCTCCCGCATATCATCCGCAGCTGCACCAAAAGCACATCCCCGGAGACTCTGTTCCCAATTCAATTACATGATCACACATAAGAGGTCAATTCACACATTTTTTTGGCAACAGCCACCGCAAAAAACAACCTGTTTTCCTTTCTAGACAAAATAAACGGTGTGTCACAATTTGCTAAGACCATTCTGTGAATACATTTACGTGAACTAACAGCAGGATTCTTGTTTATGAAACTCATCTATTCATATGCATCTTTTATTGAGGTTGTTGTACACAGAGATTCATGAATACACAAGTTTTTACACTCAGCTTTTAATTACTGTAAAACATCTAACAAACAATATTACAAAATCCACTGAGGCAGAGATCAGAGAAGACAGTGCTCATTTCTGTTGTGAAAGGAAAGCAATCCCACACTAAACAAACATCTCATCAAAACTCCATTTAATATCACGTCAAGGCAGTCATCCGAAAAGAAAATCGCTCGTCTTTCCTTTCAAACTGCATGTCCTGCTAAATACTGCGGTTTGGGGTTTTCCTTCGAGTAAAACCATCCCAGAGGTCACTGCAGCAACACTGCTATTCATTTGGAAGTCTCTGAATGTGGCAAGACCGTAAACCAGGGCTGTCCAAACTTTGTCCTGGAGGGACTCCTGCAGAGTTTAGCTCCAACTTGCCTCAATACACCTGACTGGAAGTTTCTATGCCTAGTAAGAGCTTGATTAGCTGGTTCAGGTGTGTTTAATTAGGGTTGGAGCTAAACTCTGTGGGACACCGGCCCTCCAGGACCGAGTTTGGACAGCCCTGCCGTAAACAAACTGGAAAATTAGCGCTGCGTGTTTGCCAATGTATGATACTCTTGTTTACAACTGTGATACTTTGGTATCATTGGCACCAGAGTAGTTTCATATACGAATATGGCAGAGGGGCGAGAAAAAAGGAGAATGGTTAACAGATATAACACTACATTTCTCAGCTCTGGCACACCGCACAACACCGTTTAAGAATGTGCAAAGAAGACCGATCGAAACTATTTTGTGAATAAAAACAATGGCCAAAAGTGAGGTAAAGACAGAACGAATGTGATGCAGACAGTCAAGATGAACTCAGAAGTACATGTCCTGGAAGAGGTTCTGGCCCATCTCAATGTACGCCTCTTTCTCCTGAGCGCTCATCTGTTCCACCAGCTCGGGTCTCTGGCTCACTTCCCTGTAAGAGAAGGGGCTTCCCCCTACCATAACCACAGGGTCATCCCCAACCTCCTCGAACTCATCACCATCATCTTCGCCCTCCTCATCTTCTTGTTTTCCTGGCCGCAGGGCTGTAGCGTTGTGCATAGTGTGGGCTGGAGCCCGGGGCGGCGAGTCCTCATCCGATTCACTGGTATCGCTGTCAGAGTCGCTGACGTTAGCCACTGGAACGGTCGGTCTGGAGACGACAGCACCTCCTGGACCAACTCCGCTCCTCTTCTCGTGAATGAGGAGAGCCAGCATCACCTCCTCATTCTCATCCTGTGCGGCTCCTCGTCCAGTCATTCCCTCCTGGGTTACTATAGAGTCCTCGCCAGCTGGTGTGTAAAAATTGGAAGAAGAAGAAAAAAAACAGGGCCAATTTAGATGCACATTTCTTAACCATAAATGTGCTATACTTTCTAAATTCAAGTCCTTTCTGAAGCCATATGACAGCTTTATAGGAACAGGGCATAATTTAAGTTGTTTGTCAATGACAATTTTGCCGTCCATTCAAGTACTTAACTTTCACCCACACGTCTACACTTTCAAACCCATAAACTACGATACATGCAAGAATAAATTAACTGTACATTTGGTTTTTTCTCATCCTTCTTCAATGGTGTTGAATATGCAAATACGTTTTTTTTATTTTTTATATCAGAGGTGAAAGCAAAGTTTTTCATTGAATAAGGACTGTAAATTTGTCTATTTCTCATGCAAAACTATTTTATGGCTTTTGAAGTCTCTAAACCTGGAATATAGCACAATAATAAGTCAAATAGACTACTTTTATTGTACTCTTTTGTCATTGTAAATAAAAAAAAAGCATGGATAGCAATAGCAGCTTGGATATTCTGCTTAATATCTCTTTTTGTGTTCCAAACAAAATATTGGAGTGACAATAGGGTAAAATATCTCTTTCAACCAATCAGTGCCTTCACACTTATACCTAGTTAGATTGTGCATTCAGACCCATGAGGTGCATAAACAACAATAAGCAGGCAAATCTTGAAGTTAATATGCAGCCATCAGCACAAAAAACACTTTCAAAATAGTCGATGTGACTCACGTTGCTTCAGAGCATCTGTTTCACTGTACGCCCCATGCACTGTGCTTTCTGTCAGCCATACGGGCCTCTCTTTGGGGGCTTTTCCCTCAGTAGTCTGGCCAGGCTGAGGCTCCTGGTCTTCCATACTGATGACCACATCCTGCGAGTAGAGGTCATACGATGAGCCTTTGTTTTTCCATACTTCCCGACCAGGTGCCCCTGCACCAGCTCCTCCTGCGGACTGGGCGGCCCGCTCCCGACTGAGGAAAATAGAAAAAGTTGGATTACTAATTTGTTGACAACATAAACCTGACTTTAATTGGCCATCCTTTATCTGTTAAAAGTGGGAGGAAAAATCATCAAAGCAGATGACAATGAAGTTTTGCTAATCGGTTAAAAATAAATGGCCTATTTTAGGCTACGTCCACACGAAGCCAGAGCTTACGAAGCCAGAGCTTTCCCTATCCGATCTTTTTTTTCCCCTCGTCTCAAGAAATATCTGCGTCCACACGAAACCACAAAACCGACACAAAACGATGTAGTATACATGCCATGCCAGTATGTGGTGCTGTAATTCTGCCACAGAGACACATTAAAAATGGAGAAGACGACTTGGACTATGCGCATAAACCTTGCGCGCGGTATACAAACGAACATGGAACAATACATTTATTAATCTGTGTTAATGTTAGTTGATAAAAAGACAATTGTTCAGTGTTTGTTCATGTTTTTGTTGCTGTTACGTGATGTAGCGGTGTCTGACTAGGGGCGAGACGTGGGCTGATGACGTTATAGTTTCAGAAAATATACGGATTCGCTGTCCACACGAAAACGCAAGGGCGGCGTTTTCAGATTTATCCACTCTGGGACCCGGTTTCAAAAAATATCGGTTTCACTCTCCCAAAACGCCGGATCCGTGTGGATGAATCACCTATATGATACAAAATGTATGCGTATACAGCTAAACGTGTCTCCATGTGGACGGGGCCTTAGTATAAATTTTAGTAGAATAAACTGCCATGTACATTCTTGATTGACAATTTTTTTTAGTATTATTTATTTTCATATTTTAATATTGATTTAATATTCAGAATCAACTTTTATATTTTTATGTCTTCAGTTTTAATTTTTTAAATTTTAATTTAGTTTTTAGTAATTCTTTTTATTTTTAATATGTCTATTTAGCTTTTATTTGATTTCAGCTCGTGCATATGACTGGCCACTTTGACTGAACAGGAGGTGCTGACCTCTGTTTTAGGGCTGGGATTTCTGACGGTTCGGGCTCCAGGAGATCATGGGACAAGTTGATGTCCTCTGTCTCTCGTAACAATACATAGATGGGCTCGATCTGCTCGTTGAATCGAGCCACCAGAGTGCGGGCGTCTTTCTTTGGCACGGCCGATTCGTCCTCCTCTACTTCTGTTTGACAGAAGGTACAGCGGAAAGTTCCTGTGTTTGAGAAAAGAAGGTCTTTAAGCACAAAATATCAAGTGTTGAAACTGTTTATTCTGCTTATCAGCCCTCATTCTCAACCACTTCAACACACCAACCCCATCCATCATGTTTGGCACCTCCAAGTCATTCGGTTTGAAAGTTAGAGCCTAGAAAAACTTTGCCAAGGGGCTCCATATCTCTGGTTCCATGTTAGCCAGAGGCTCTAAATGCTGGGATTCCATGTCCCCTTTTCCCACAGACATGGTGTCAGTTGTGGAGCTGGAGCCAGTGCCCAATCTGGCACCCCATCCTTTGGCGTTTCCACCAGGCAATTTTAAGACAGAAAATTTGGCTCTGATCTCAGATCTGCTGTTCTTGAACCAGGAACCACTAGCATCAGTAGCTAGTAGTCAAACCAACAACAAATCAGTATGGCTAAACAAGACATTCTCATTATAACTGACTACCTGTGCATGCTGGAATTGGCCAGTGCTGCACATTAAGTCTAAAATAAAATGATTCATTTACAAATACACCACTGTTCCAACGTTTTTGGGGTTAGTAAGATTTTTGGTGAAAGCTTTTGAAAGAAGACTCTTATGCACTTAAAGGGATAGCTCACCCAAAAATGAAAATTTGATGTTTATCTGCTTACCCCCAGGGCATCCAAGATGTAGGTGACTTTGTTTCTTCAGTAGAACACATATTATGTTTTTTAACTCCAACCGTTGCAGTCTATCAGTCGTATAATGCATGGCAATGGTAACAAAATCTATGAGAGTAAAAAAAAAAAAAAAAACACAATTTTGTGAAATATTACCATTTAACATAACTTTTTTAACATGTGATATATTCCTGTGATGGCAAAGCTGAATTTTCCTAATATGAAATCATCATATTATGTTGATTCAGTGCACAATAAACATTTTTTACTATACAATGTTGTGCTGCTTAATATTTTTGTGGAAATCATGATTTATGATTTGAACAGAACGATTATGAGTTATGAACAGAACGTTCAAAAGACAAGCACTTTCTTGAATTTTTTGTAACATTATACATGTATTTACGGTCACTTTTGACCAGTTAAAACATCCTTGCTGAATAGAATAATTAATTTTTACTTATGGCCATTATATCAAAAACTTTTTTGGTTTTATTATTATTAAAATAAAAAATAAATTAATTAATTAAATTAAATAGTACTGCTAGCAAAATGAAAAATGAATATATTTAGGGACTACAAAAAGAAACCGGGTGTGGTCCAATGGTATTTACTCAATAGCATCTAGAGGATGGTGCCAAAACCACTGCTGACCATCTAATATTATTGAAACAGGAAAGAGGAAGAACAGTCACAGACACAAGGACAAACATACACAAACACACACTCCCAGAATTCACTGGTGGTTCCATTGCAAGCGAAGCTGGTCTGATTTGCCATCTGCTGCTGAAGTTATTTACAGCCTTCTGCCAAGAACACACACAGCAGGGCCCTCTGTATGAGTATGTGGTGTACACCAGCTACTAGCTGAATATAAAATACAAGCCTTGACATATTTTACATATGTGTGTACTTAGCATTTAATGGTCAGTCACAGATGGTGCTGATATTGTAACCTTCCTTTAATAGTAGTCTTTTATATAGAATATCAATCTATTCATGTTCATGTTTTGCTCTCATGAACACACACCAGCAATATGTTTTTTATGCTGAAATACTCCCATGTTGTTGTGCTGAGTGCATGGTGAAACTGCTTCCGAGTTTCTGGCCTTGAGGGGAATCGAACGAGTAAACGATTCGCCGCAATTTCCATTTTAAAAGCTTTGCTGGAAAGTTGACAACAAAATCTGTGAAGGCGCTCCTGAAAAACAATCACCTCCAGCTAGGCCCTTTTACTACAGATGTCTTCTCTGCCAATACAGGAGTGGAGGGCAAAAAAGAAAACTGTTAGAAAAAATTTGACAAGCGCAAAGAAAGAGAGACAGAGAGGGAGGGGGAGAGAGAGAGCGAGAGACTTTAAAAAGAAAAGAAAAAATATTCAGGTGAAGGGAAGATAAAAAAAAGTTCTCTGTCACATTTGACACAGCTCCAGAGGAAATATTGACAAGCCCGGAGCGCAGAGAACACTTTTACTGCAGCCCTCCTGGTTAGACAGTCTGTCTGCCTGTCCTCTCTCTCTCTCTTTCTCACACACACACACACACACACACACACACACACACACAAAAGAAAAAGAAAAGAAAAAGTGATAAGGAATGCAGAGACAACAGGCTGCATTTTAAATGTCTAAATAAAGATGAGGAGATATCAAAAAGACGCATTTTCAAACACATGCAAACATCATGTATTGCAGGAGTAAGGGCAAAGCAGGTGCATTCTGTTCAAGTAGAATGTGTTTTTGCATTCCACTGCACTCTTTTCATTGTTTTTCTAAACATGCACTAAACTGATGTATTTGACCGTTGTGCTTCCATTTTTAGTCCTTAAGTTGTTTTGTTACACTACACTTTCATTACATTACACTACTCGTTACACTGTCTCGCATTTAAACACAAAAACATGTTTTTTTCCAATGTTTTTCTACATACACACATGCTGGATAGACATCGTTGACCACTGCGTCTTTCGCAGCATCTTGCGTGTGAAACGACATTATAAAAATGTGACATTAACGTTTAAAAGTTACCTCGCATTTTTTCTCCACTCCAGTGCCCTGCATCTCACATTTTTAAAAGGAAAAATTGATTTTTGCATTCAATTGCACTGCTTTTTAATAGTTTTCTATGTAGGTCTTTGCTTGGTGTACCAAGTCTTGCTGCTTTTATAACGTTTTGTGTATGAGCGCTGCATTTTTAGGATGACATGTCAACGCATCTTGTGTACATCTGCTCTTTTTTTAAACACAAGAATGCATTCTGTATCAACTTTAACAGAGTCTAAAAAGGGCATTGCTCATTTGCGTTACAGAAGTAGCAAGATGCACCTCAGTGATCAAATATTTACATTAAAAAAAAAAAAAAAACTGGAAGGCAAAAATGTTCTGTGAACCAACTCTAAAGTGACGGACAAAAAAAGGAAGTTCACTAGCACAGAAAGGAAGCCTTACACTAAATTGAGGGAAACAAAAGCAGGCACTGACCTACAGGGATGTTATAGTAAGAAATAAAAGTTTTTCCGTTTTTCTTTTTACACACCAAAAAAGAATTCTGTAGAGATATCAATTCCAAAGCCCTGGCCAATTAGCAATATGGCACATGCACACACTCTGGTTGTCATCTTTGTTTTTAGTCCAAGTGTGCATTGGATCTGTGCGTACACATTGTCGCAATGATCTAAAGGAACATGGCGTGGTGCTGTTAGCGTGTAGGCATACATTAAGGCTTCTGTCGGAGAAAAGTGGGCTGGTGCCTTTGTGTTTACAGTTTTTGTATTATCTATGAGATATGAATAGGTCTGGTTTAAATTACATAGCACTCACTCCAGTGATTCAGAGCTCTTTTGAAAACAGGATGGTGCTTTGTTCCGTCGTCTACGCCAAAGAACAAAAGGACTTTTGTGATCAGCTTTTAAAAGATGAATCCAGCATCATTTCAGCATTTGAGAGAGGAGAAAGTTTTTTCATGAGGGGGTCTGAGCAACTGTGACAAATGTACCACTGATTGCAACTGCAGCAGAGCTAATGCAATCATAATAATTACAATACAAATACAGTTAAATACGTTTAACTGTTCTGCATTGAAGGACTGTATATAGATGAATTTAAATAACTGTTCTGGATTTAATACAAGTTAAGCTATAGACATCACTTAAATCCCTATTCAGAAATGATTAGCTTTCAGGACAGAACGTCTGAAATCTTCAGCAATTCGCACTGGATTAGCAATGTCTGCAGTAAATGGCCAAATGGATGAATTGACTACATTTATGTGAAGCTTCTGGAAATTACTGACCAATCACAAAAGTTTAGTATGAACTGTGCACTGCAGTCTATATTACACTACAGTTCAAAAGTCTGGAGTTTAATCTTCTTGAGTTAGATTTTTTGAAAGAAGTCTCATGCTCACAGAAGCTGCATTTATTATAAATACAGTAAAAACTGTAATATTGTTAAATATAATTACAACTTAATATAACTGTTTTCTATATTAATACATTTTAAAGTGTATAATTTATTCCTGTGAAGGCAAAGCTGAATTTTCAGCATCATTACTCAAGTCTTCAGTGTCACGTGATCATTCAGAAATCATTTTAATATGCTGATTT